AGCATAATCAGTTACAGGTGTTAGCTGGCTGCAAAGTTGAGTCTCTGATTGTCTGGGAACAAAAACACCGCTGCCAGCCCTAGTACCTGGCAGATCAAAAGGCAGGTGAGTCCCACCATAGCTGGCCAGTCCATTCCTGAACAGGGACTTTAGACTCTTGTAGTCATTGTCCCTGCTGCACATGCATTTAGGGACCGGTACTGGTGTCATTTTATATGGTTTTAGGTCTGTGTGTATTGTCTCATACTGAGGTGATGGTAAACCAGGGCGATTGCCCATATGTCAAATTTGTATGTGTAATAAAGCATAAAATTTTTGGAAATTTTTCTGTGTATCACATTCTGTTCATAATGGTAGCCGCTTTCTTTGTGAATTTCTTTTCACAACCCCTCTTTTTTTGCATGATGTTCCTACCCAGCCTGACGATTCTAGTGCCCACTATCCAGCCTGATGACCCAATCCGGCCTGATGACCCTATCCAGATTGATGATCTAGTGTACGCTACCCAGCCTAATGACCCGATCCAGCTTGATAATCTGGTATACGCTACCCAGCCTGAATGACCCGATCCAGCCTGATTAAGCGATCTGGGCCTGATGTTCCTATCCGGCCTGATGACCCGATCCGGCCTGATGACCCGATCCGGCCTGATGACCCGATCCAGCCTGATGACCCGATCCAGCCTGATGACCCCGATTTAGCCTGATGGCCTGATCCAGCCTGATGACCTGGTGTTCGTGATCCAGCCCGATGACCCGATCTCCAGCCCGATGACCCGATCCAGCCTGATGACCCGAACCAGCCTGATGACCCGAACCAGCTGATGACCTGGTGTTTGTGTGATCCAGCCCAATGACCCGATCTGCCCGGACGACCTGGTTCGGCCTGGTGCCTCGGTACCCGTGGTCCGGCCTGGTGCCTCGGTGCCCGTAGTCGGTGCCCGTGTTCCGGCGTGGTGCCTCGGTTCCCGTGGTCCGGCCTGGTGACTCGATGCCCGTGGTCCGACCTGGTGACTCGTTGCTCGCTGTACTGCCAGATGACTCAGTGCCCGCTGTCCTGCCAGCTGACTCGGTGCCCGCTGTCCTGCCAGATGACTCGGTGCCCGCTGTCGTGCCAGTTGACCCGGTGCCCATCGGGCCAGATGACCCGGTGCCTGCTGTCGTGCCAGTTGACCCGGTGCCCGCTGTCGAGCTTGGTGACTCGGTGCCCGCTGTCGAGCCAGAGCCAGATGACTCCGGTGCTGTGTCGTGCCCCGCTGTCGTGCCAGTTGACTCGGTGCCCGCTGTCGTGCCAGTTGACTCGGTGCCCGCTGTCGTGCCAGATGACTCGGTGCCCGCTGTCGTGCCAGATGCCTCGGTGCCTGCCGCCTCGCCTGATGGCCCGGTACCTGCCGCCTCGCCTGATGGTCCCCGGTGCCTGATGCCGCTTCGCCTGATGGCCCGGTGCCTGCCGCTCCGCCTGATGGCCCGGTGCCTGCGCTCCGCCTGATGGCCCGGTGCCTGCCTGCTGCTCCGCCTGATGGCCCGGTGCCTGCTTTCCTGCCTGATGGCCCGGTGCGCGTGCTGCTCCACCTGATGGCCCGGTGCCTGCTGCCTCGCCTGATGGCCTGGTGCCCGCTGCCTCGTCTGATGGCCCAGGGCCCGCTGCTCCGCCTGATGGCCCGGTGCCCGCTGCCTCGCCTGAGGGCCTCCGTCTGCTGACCAGCCTATGCTGATGTGCCTCCGTCCGCTGCCAAGCCTGGTGTGCCTCCATCCGCTGCCCAGCCTGATGTGCCTCCGTCCGCTGCCCAGCTGATGTGCCTCCACCCGCGTTGCCCAGCCTGATGTGCCGAGCCCCTGATATCCAGCCAGTTACCCTACCCGGGCGGTGGAACATTTTGCCCACTAAGGACTGTTTGGGAGCATCCTGAGTCCGCTCCTTGAGGGGGGGTACTGTCAGAAATGGACTCGCCAATGGTGGTGGGAGATATTGTTTTATTTTAGAAAAAACGCACAACCAACAAACATTTTTACTACAAAAGTATAAAAAAATAAATAAATAACATAACAACATCACATTCCATCATGTGCAAACATAAAAGTAAACATTTCAAAGCCATACTAGAGTCCTTATGGCTGAAGCAATATAAACGCAAGGCCCTTACCAGCCGGAAACAAAGATTTGCATTCACGGCTTTATGGCCTAGAAAAACAAAATGTGGCCTTTATGGCCCAATAAATCTGCATATATGGCCTTTACGGCCTAATAAGAAAGCACTTTTGGCCTTTATGGCCGAATACAATAGCATATGTAGCCTACATGGGCTATAGTCAAACACTGTACAAAACATCACACAAAACAACATTACTTAGACTGAGGAACATAGATCTTTGGGTCCATGTAGCTTTTCTTCAAAAAAATAATCTCTGAAAATCTAAGGGAGCGTGGAAGGAGAAAGAAAACAGGATAGTTTACCAACACCCAGAGATCAACAGGCAGCAACTACAGGCCTGATATTCCTCCACCGCCTTTATCCAGACCCTCGCCGCCACCTGTCTTTCTCAAGACCCCGAACTTTCCCCACCTCACCCAAGAATGCGCGCACCCACCTCCGGGACAGGAAGGACTTTTCTTCACCGTATGGATACCTGGCACCTTGCATTCCACATGAAATTACCGGACAATCTAAGCTAACTAAATAAAGAGTGTCCAAATCAAAACCCCGGCGATCTTGCATATGCTCCATATACCACTATGCATAAGACATGCACTGCAAGAAACGGAAAACCCAGAGCCACTCCCACCTCTTTGTAGACTTCAACCTTTGAAGGGACACTGAAGCAGGAAGTGGTCCATAGTTTCCACTTCACCCCGACACTCCTCTCTCGGACAACCGCGGTCATCCAGAGAGAGGTGTACTTCAAGTTTTCCCCTCACGAAGAGTCTGCCGTGAAAAAACCGAGCCAGGCCTGGTCCCTAAACTTGAAGGGAATCACTCAGAATTTAATAAGCGTAAGCCCTCCCGCCATATAATATGGCCCAGGCAATCCTCAAGGCCAGCGGCGCATGACAAACAACGGACACAATCCTCTCACCCAGGAGCTTCCTAGGGAGGGACTTAATATCCTCTGCCGTCACACGCACCGCCCTAAGTATTTTCAGGCTCGGAGGGGCAACATAAGTCGGGGAGCTCACCGTGCTTAACCCTCAGGCTTTTCACTAGCCCACCACTCTCCCAGCAAACTCAGAAAAGGCCTATAAACAGCCAGTTCTGGAAGAGGCTTACCCACATGCAGGGTGAGGTCTCTCTGCCAGCATGTTACCCAAAATTGTGCTTCAAAAAACACCAGAGAGAAGAAGACTACCGGGTTGACCCATACCTAAGCCACCCTTCCTCCTGGATAGGTAAGTCACATACTCGCTTCACAAGGTTCAGTCTGCTTCCCCATAACAGCTGGAAAAAGCAACTGTAGATCCTCGTATAAAGAGGACTCTGGCAAGATGCAAACTGTGCTGACATACAAAAATATGGGGATCAGGTTAAGTTTTGATCAGATCAGAAACCTTCTCTCAAGGAGAGCCGCCACCCCTTCCAGCATTTCACCTTGACTTCGGCATTGGTCAGCCTGGCCCTCCCAATTCGATTTGCCATAATCGGCCAGGCCAAATTTCAAATGCCTAATACTTTGACGGACTGCTGAGGGCACAGGGAAAGCGTCCACGGGAGCACAAAGCCCTCGCCCTCCTCCACACCTAACCAAAGGAACTTCATGGACTTGTCCTGATTGATCTTGGATACTGCTCTATCTCTGAGACAATTCCACCTGCGCCTCCACAGCCCCAGAGACAAAGACAGAAACATTCATCAGCGTAGGCAATGACCCTCAGGGGCGTCTCACCAGCAACATCCACCAGCACCCCGCCACAACGCTCCACAGTCCAGCCTCCTTACGAAGGGGTCGACCGCAAAGACATAGAGCAGAGGACTCAGCGGGCATCCCTGGCGCACCCCAGAGAGCCAAACCCCAAAGGGCTGCCCAATCCAAACCGTTCACCAGCATGAAGCTCTCCGCCTCTCTATACAATGTCTTGAGCCAGCCAATGAACTTCCCTTCCAGGCCATACCTGTCAAGAAGATGCCAAAACTGGTACTCATGACTAACCCGATCAAAAGCCTTGGCCTGATCCAATGTCAGCAAATACTTTCCCCTGAGCCTTCAGCCCTGCACCGCTCCAGAAACCTACCCGGTCAGCTAACACCGCTGTGAAGGTGATCCTGCCATGGAGGCCGAGCAGTGCTGCCGACTGGAAAGCAGCGTTGTCTGCGACTGACGCCAGGCGCCAGAAAAGAATCTTTGCCAGAATCTTTTTCATATCAACTTTGAGAAGACTGGATTGGGGCGCCAGTTCTCAATCATTGAAGGGTCCTTACCCTTTGACAGCAGGATAACAGCAGACTTTCTCATGGAGGGAGGGATGGTGAACCTTCTTGCAGACAAGCAGTTTTAATACCTCTGCGAGATGGGGTGCCAAGCTAGTCTTGAAAGATTTTATAAAATTCTCCTGTCAAACCATCTGGCCCAGGTGTTTTTCTTAATTGCCAGACTGTCTATGGCTTTGGCTACCTCTGCCTGCTGTTTATCTCATCCATTAAACTTGGAGAGCGGGACGTCACTCCCCAGACCCGGTGTAGAGTCCAGAAAACTTAACATCCTCCCGGTCGAGGTGCTTTCTTCCCCAGAAGATCTCTATAAAAGGACCTCGAGACCTCCAGAATCCCCTGACCTGGATTTTGTCAGGGAACCTGTACTATCTCTCAGGCCTAAGACCATTTTAATTGCTGCGCCTTGTCTGCAATTCTGGTAAGGGTCAGGGCGAGTGATATTTACCCGTAATCCCTCTCCAGAACCAAAGAAGTCGTGCCGGTCATATCTGATGCTTCTTCTTAGAAGGAGATTCACCTCTGCAATTGCCCCTGGATCACCACAAAACCGAGACGAGGCGGTCAAGTCTCCTCCGCAGCCCGCTCCTGGTAGGCAACATATCTATCAAGTTGTAACCTTTTTACCTACGGCCCTGAAAAACCCACTGGTTCGCTTTTTAGTGAGCTCCTCACCACTCCGTGCTTACTGCTGCAGAAATCCAGAGGAAGGGTCACCTGAGCCTGGAAAAATTCCTCAAATGATTGTCTCACACTCTCGTCATCCAGCAAGGGCGAATTCATTCTTCCAGATGCCCCTTCATTTCAGCGGCGTATCTGAAAACATTCAAGATCACAGATAGCATAAAGGTGATCGGAAAACTCAACCGCCCGACACACAGGTGCCGAGAAGGCAGAGTTCCCTTTAAAAAAAAACCTATCTGACCTGCTCTCACTCCTACCTCGCCTAAAGGTGAAGCCCGTGCTGTCTGGGTGCACTTAACTAGTGCATCTACCAGACCTGCATCCCTGACTATCGCATTAAGAAAAACGCTATCATAGCCCAACCTGTCAGTGAAGCCTCTCCTGTCTTTGGGCCTAGTGATGGTGTTAAAATCACCTCCAAAGACAACTTGCGGGCCGTAAAAAGGAAAGGCCTAATCTTTGTGAAAAGGCATTTCCTTTCCCACTTGGACTGCGGGCCATATATATGTTGATTAAACGCAGGTCATGCACCCCTCACAGAGACGTCCAGGACCATGCACCTTCCGATCTCTACCTCAATAATCGCCCGGCACGTTACCATACCAGTAAAAAGCACTGCAACCCCACTGTAAGGCTCAGGCTGCAAGAGACCAAAAAGGAGGGGCCACGCCTCCACTCCCTCTTTGCCAGGTGGATATCGGCAAGGCTATTGAGCCGGGTCTCTTGCAAAAACAAAACATCAGCATCAACCTCGCTGAGCAAAAATAAGGCCATGTTACGAGCACTAGATCACAGACTTCAAGCTAGCAACATTAATAGTTGCCACTTTTACTGGGGTGGGAACTGCCATCCAGGATAATTAAGATAGGCATTCCTCAGTCTGACTATCTACCACTGGGGCCCCCTGTACTATGGGGGTTGTCCCAGCACTGTTCTCAGCCTCCTCCATCAGATCCACAGAGTCAGATGAAACATCCCCCGCGATCTGATAGAGACCCAAACTTATTCCCTGAAAGTATGTCATCCTGATCTGAAGAGCACAGAGACTCTGAGGATGCTGAGGAAAGCACAACCCTATTTTTCCTCTTCTTCCCTCCGACCAGGACCCACTTCCCCCCA